CAATTGCAGCCTTGAAATGGGGCAGCGCTGCGCATCGCAGGGCTGATCAGATGATCACCATCTGGAAGAGATGAGCTGTGCATACGCTTACCGTAATACACGCAATGGTATGGTTTGTCCTGAATTGTTTTCCCAGAGATGACTGGCTAGTTTCATCTGCAAAATATTTTCAGGAGAGGAATTCCTGGAACTGCTTAATTCTTTTTTTTTTTTTTAATAACTGAAATCTGGATTTTTAATACTTCAGTACAAAATTTGCCCTAGAATGGAGAGTAAAGCTTTGCGGTTTTAGAGTCATCACAGTGACAATGCAGCTAGACCACCCTCCTAAAAACAAACTAAGAAACAACTTGAAACCTGAGGGTTCCCACTCTCATATGCAAGCCTACTTCCCTACCGCTGTCTTTGTTCAGTAACTTCTGAGGTTCAAGAGCTCATGGCACAGCAACTGCACAAGGGGCAACAGGCTTTTTACTGCGTGAAGCCTGTGACCTGCCGATGGGCTGCCTCCTTCCCATGCACATACAAACCCTCTGTCTACCGGCAGCTGGGACTCATTGAACTATGGAAAGTGAGCAGAGCAGGGCTGAAAGGTCATGAACTTACGATTCATGCAGCTGGTAACAGCATTTTGTTCTACCAAGCTACATCAGCTCCTCTTAAAGCTGTTTGAAACTAAGTTTTCATTCCGTTCTGGCACAGACAGCAACACTTGGAGCCCTTTGAATACTCCCTCCTCCAACTGCACTTGAACGATGTTTTCTCGACAGGAGGACCCGGGGGTGCACTTCTCTCCCCTCTCCCAGGGCTGCAGCAGCCTGTGCACCCAGGCCCAGCTCTGATCTGGCCCAGCTGCATAACCTTGCCTCAAGACTGCTGAAAAAAATCTGTGAGAAAATCTGTGGAGAGGTAAGAAAGGTAAAATTACAGACAGAGGTAGAGCCATTGAGACAGGATTGCCAGTAGCTCTAAGATTCAGAAAGAAAAGCAGCACCATGGGAAGGTATAAAATCTAAAGGAAGAAAACAGCAAACCCAGTCAGGAAGCATGAGGTTGGTTTGTTGGGGCAAGCCATTGGTGCCAGGGGCACTGACAGAGCCGGGCAGAAGACAGAAACATGGCAACACTGAGGGTCTCCTCTGGGGAGCTGCCGGGACTGACCCTTCCCCTCCTGCCCAATGCCTGCCTGGCCAGCAAAGCCACCACTGTACCTCGCTGGGTAAGCGTGCTCATGCTTAGCCTAACAGCTAACTGCCTAAAAGCACCTTTCTTTCCTGTCAGACAATCAATAAATAACTGCTTTATGCTCCTGGTTATGTGTATTCTGCTTACAGATTATCTTTGAAACTAGCTAAAGACACCTGAACAAAATGATACAAAAGCAAGGCTGTAACAAATACCTGTAAATACATTTTCATATTATTTACATTCACTGGAAGTTAAAAAAAAAACTATCACAGTATTTTGTTGTGGATGGAAGAGTGTTTACCATCAGGGAAAGACTGAAGCACACAAAGGAGAAGTAATTTTCTATTTGTGCTTCCAAAAATCCAAAACTATTTTACCAAAACATATTATTTGCTAGTAAATTTTCTCTTCTTTTAAAATGTTGTTTTATTCCATTACCCTTAAGTGCTTTCCAGATATTGCTTAAAAACATCAGTGCTGTGTCTGAATTTCAGGTGGTGAAAATACTGGGGAAAATTCCTTCTGCAGATGACTTCTTAAGGATCAGGAGAGTGTACACGTAGAAATAATTTCCCCAGTGTTTTCTTCCCCTGGTAACACTAGCATGCGAAGTTCCACAACAATAAAGCTACTTAGAATGCTGCCTGAACAAGCTGATCTGAACACCTGTAGTGTGCATGTGGGAGCTTTTTAGGGTGCCACATACCTTCAAGTTCTCGAAAAAATCTCTTCCTATCCCAGAGAAGCTGTCAAAAGAGAGCACGTTATTCAGCTGAAGGGAGACTGATGAAGTACAGCAGAATTCAGATCAACACTGATGCAAGTACTGAGTGAGGGGATACTGTTGAAAAAGTCAAGATAGATAACGTAAACAGTTAAAGCTTGCCTGTTGACAAGCTGTCCTTTTTTCTGGGACATGGAAAAAAAATCCAGCAGTATTTTCCTGTGATATGATTTCTTCTTTACTAGAGAAATGGGCTGCACAGGTTTCTTAGATGGTAGATGCAATTAGAGCTGTCCTGAAAAGGAAAGACTGACTCATTCCACATGCAGGCTTTTACACACTCCCTCTGGTCACTGCACTGTAAATCTTTGCTGTTCTGACATCAGCTTGGCTTCTCTTAGAGGCTGTAGGAGAAGCTGCCAAAAAGAATAGGTTTTGTATATTCTAACCCCTATTCTGGATAGAATTAATGGACCAAGCGTGAAAGCCAAAAAACTCAGATTTGATTGGGTTAATCAATGCCAGAATTTGTTGGCTAGGGAATGATACAGATGATCTTTCACAGTTGAAAGAGTACATCAGTGTTGCAAGTGTTTGGAAGGTAACAGTACACGTCTTAAACGCCACCAAATAACACACTGGCTTTCACAATAAGACACTGCGGGACAGGATTGAGTATCTTATTCCAATGCATGTGAAAGTTTGCAAATAATTTTGGAGTGGTTGATCAAAGCAAAAGGAACAGCTGCAGTGAAGTGTGCACAGGAGGAGTAGGAGTACAAACTTGTATAAATATTCTGGCATATTAGATGGATTTCTCATATGATGTTAGCTGTTTCTGTGAAAAGTGAGGTGGCACGGTTTTAGTCAATCATCACGTTTGTCTGGTATGATGCAGGTACCATAACATCAATCAAAGCTAGAAGGAGAAAGGAAAAGAGGACATCTAAACATGTTTTTTCTTGAGGTAACCTGACAATGAGTACCAGGAAAGTGCTTCAGACTACTCTGACTTACTCCACAGATATTCTAGCCCCATATGTGCAAACAGGCATTAGCAGAGCTCAGCTGATCAACAGTACTTTGTTATGCTGCGGTCAACACATTGCTTGCACTTGTCTTGTGCCTGCCCAGTGTAGTTTATTTAGAAAATAGAGAAAGATAAAAGATTTTGTTCGGTGCCTAAAGAAAGGCTACTTTCTAGCACCAACAAAAAATAGCGTATGTGCATAATCTTGCACAAAATATTTGTACCAGTCTAAAGTCATACTACATTAATATGATGCTTATCTGTATTTGTTACCAGGTGAAACATTTTATTAACAGCATGTTTGCAAGTAGCGTTCAAAACAAGTTGTACGCAACAGGATGGAGTCAACGTTCGAACAAGCCAGTTGGTAATAAAGATGAGTTTTATTATATATAATAAAAGTATAATACATAAAGACATTGCATTATTGCAGATTGCCTGATAGAAATGATACACACAGCCTTATTGTATCAGGCAATAGGTACTAATCTGAAAGCATTCACTCTTATCAAATATATTGGGAGTTACGGCAACAGAGCTAAGCCTATCATGGGGCTAATTAAAAAAGCAAATAGACAGCAAAAAGCCTGTCCAACGTGCATTATTCTGAGTCTATTACGTACAGCTTTTGTAAGGTAGTATTCATACTTAAAAAGACTTCTTATTAATTTGAGATTAATTCAGTATGGTGGTGAACAGGAATAATGTAAGAAAGCCCTTTAAAAGTTTTCTGTATTCATCTTCTCATCCCTTGCTTTTTAGACAGGCAACATACCAGGACAGTATTTAAATTGCCACAAAATGTAAAAATGGCATTTCTTCAGTAACAGGAGTCTAAATGTGTTTAGCAGCATACACCATGAGGTTTTTATTTCTCTTCATTAATAAAAAGACCCATCATTGTCGAGGATGCCTGCATTGCATAAGCTAATGTAAATCAAGCCTTCTAACCTCTAGGTGAGTTCCTTTCACTAGCTCCACTGCAAACATATTTATTCTCAGTATCTTGCATTAGTATCGTATGACCAAAAGCTTGAGTTGTCCTGCCTGCAGCGTGACCCCAGCTGACCCCCCCAGAGGCTGCCTGGCCTGTTGCAGGGCTGGTGGAGTCCTTGCAATATGTCAAAACCCAGGTGTAAAACATAAGGAACTGTCTCCCGAGGGACAGAGGGTTCTCCAGGAAGACACAGCCCGCGGTGAGCGAGCCTCCCATTTGCCTATCCAAGACCAGTGGCAAGGTGCAGGAGCCCACTGGGTCACCCAGCCACGGCTCTCTGCCACTGGGTGCACCCCAGGGCACCGATGACTAGGTCAGAGTCCCTGTCTGACCATTTGTGTTGACACAAAGCTGTGTCAAGGACTATGTGACTGGTAAAGCATCTGACTGAGGAGACACAGTAGTTGATATTTTACTCTGTTTCTTTTCCATGCCTTTCTTTGGGCAGAGCAGTCCTCTATCTGATACCACCATCAGCAGCAGCGATCTTGGCAAAAGGACAATAAAATCTGAGATTATCTTTAAAGAAATAAAATACTCAAACATTGCAGCTGGAAGGCAAACACACGGGATAATTTTTAATTCCAATGAAGTATCACGCCTGCTCTCCAGAAATGGGTATGTCTCCACTTGAGAAGATGAAAGGACTTTTAGGCAGCAGTTCAATGCTATGAACTACGAAAGTGAGCTGCCATCTCCACCCTTACTTCTAGAAAACTGGCTTGTGTTTACAACTGCAGCGTGCAGGCATGATTACATACAGCTCTCCATGCGGGCTGACACAGAGAACAACAGAGTTCTTGCATTCAAATCAGATACTTTATAATGTATTTCTCATATGTCTTTTCCTGTTTTGTCTGAAAGAATAAGTGGCTTTGTAATGTGGTTTGAAAGAGTTAAAAAATTATTTTAACAAAAGATAGATGAGGGAAAAACCCAGACCGTAAAGCAGAAAGCAACTCTGAACCCTTCAAAATAAATGTGAAGGTTTTACCATAACCTGTTTGGATTTTCCCCAAATAAAAGGGCTGAAGGAAAAAGATGATGCATATTCATTTTTTTTGGATCTTTTTTATTCAAAAGTTTTCAAAGAAATAAAACAGAAAAAAGCTAACAATCTAATCAAATTTACAGTTCAAAAATGTCTTTTGGCGTTTAACAACAAGTCCTAGGAAACAAAACTACAGAGTTATCTTGAACCGGACAAATAAGTTACCACTGGCAAGTTTGTGGCACTAGTAAAACAAAAATAAAAAATTAACTCTCTTGATCATATAGATATCTCTATGAAAATCTTTTTTTTTTTTTCAATCTGTACAAAAGGTCTTTCTTCATAAATTAATTTTTTATAATTTAATGGCTGTCTACTATGTGATGTTTAAGTAACTGATTATTTCTTTATGTACAGAGGTTAAATTTCCCAAATCTTACCCAGACAATGAGTATGGCACTTAGTTCAGACATTTCTGGCAGCAGCTCTTCCCTCCCTCTAACAGAGCTATCATACTGCAGTTTTAATTAACGCAAAAATATCAAGTAGTGAGAGATCCAAGTTTGGAAAGTTACCAGATACAGGCAAGGTGCTGCAGGAAGTCTGGACTTTTACAAAGCAGTAATATTCCAGGGAGCATAGAACCAATAATACCACAACTTTTTAAAAAAAGAAAAAACAAAAACACATCTCTTATGACTATGTATTTCACTAGAATCTACACTTTTCAGAGCAGCAATTTACTTTTGAAACTATGAAATGTCACCGACATCTATACTCCAATACTCACACAAAATTTAAAAACTAAAAAATACTTGAAAGAAACAACTGCTTAGCCCTAGCTCCTGAGCTAGGATGATTTGGTCTGTGGAAACAGGGAGGGCCAGCAACCTGTCCCAATACAAAAGGAAATAAACTTTGAGGTAGATAACTGATCATATACAGCTGACCAGAGAAGTACACAGTTTTGGAAGACAACTTAATTTATCATTCGATTTAAAACATATGCAATTGTAATAAAGAGCTTTAGTAGCAGTGAATTATCTAATATGTGAAGTACAAATAACTGTGTATTTATGAATCAGGAATTTCATAGTTTCAAAATTTGTTTTCTTTACACTTAACACTTGTAGTGATGATGTAAAGTGTGGCACTGCTTGGATCCAAGTCTTCCTTCATGCTTTTGTGTCCATACATCAATTAAAATTATAAAACCTAAATGCAAATGTACAAAAAAGGCACATTCTCCTAACCGCAAACTGGTCCGGCAAAAATAAAGAGTACAGAAGACATAATGCTGAGACAAATCAGAATTATTGGTTACTGGCTCTTTGTTCTTTGGTAAAGTTACCTTTTAAAAGTGCCAAGTCTTTATTTTTATTTACCTACTATAGAGAGCTAGTACCCAATCAATTATGTTTCTACTTACATCTCAGCATATGTTTGAAAACGAGTCCTTTAGCTTTTGCCATTTTGCTGTAATAGCAACTTTTCTGTTTGCTAAGTCTCAGCACAATCCTCATCCTAAAGCACTATCATTAGTAAAAAGGAAGGACAAAAACATTCGGTGATATCCCCGCCCCAAACTTCCTACTCTACCTATGCTAAAACTAGAACATCAAGTTAGTTTCTGAAAAAAGGCAAAAAAAGATTTTACATTGCATCATACAGCAGAGTTCCTAAATCATTCAAACTACCAGAGGGATCTATTGGCATATGGCCTTACAAACAATTTTTCCTATTAAAATTTCCCCAGTCAGAAAATGTGTTTCACACAAAACATTTTTTTCCCCTCTTGCATTTCACTACCTTACATATTATGTGAAAAATCATAAAAAACACTTACTACACATTAAAAAAGCCAAATTTTCAGCAATTTTTATTGACTACCTTTAAAAGCCCTATGCTGCTGTTTTACAAGGCATAATAGACCAGCTCATTTGGTCAAAGCATTCTACACCATTAGTTTGGACTACCTACTGAAACAGCTACAGCATTGAAAGATTTAAGGCAAATTGGAATTTATAGAAAAGGATAAGACACTTCACACTACATTGAAAGAAAAACAGAAAGCTAAAAGACCAGACACTATAACTGCAACACTGCACTAAGCAACAATCACACACTGCAAGCACAGAACATCATCTTAGATGTTTTACTACTTTAAACTTCAGAAAAACCCATTTCATACAATTAAAAAAAAAAAAAAAACCAAAATAAAAATAAACCAAAACACAAATTCTGTCATGCACGTGAATAAGTCTTCATGGTCATCTGTGCATACACAGAAATTTGAATTTTTTTTTTTTTTTGCGTCATAACACTTGATAAAAATTTTTTTTTTACTAAAATAAACCTGTTCATGGGAACAGCTACTAGATGAATTTAAGGTTTTTTTCTTATGCACCTTATAGAACTTATAGCAAAAATAGTTTTAGTTGATTTCATTATAAATAACATTTTCAAGAACCTGTGCAAAACTGTCAATAAATCCTAAAGCACAATTGATCAGTAAAATCCATGATTGTTTCAGCCTTTGCGCCCTTCTCCAGGCCAGGTCAACACTGGACATCTGTAACACAGAAAGGTCAGAGCTAGAGCAGAGTTACAATTGCATGGGGTTTTTTCTAATGTAGCTGTCCATAAAATTAAACCATCTCCTATTTAGACAGCTGTGAGAAGACTAAGTTAATCTGAGTACAAATCTGAGAAGTAACAGGTGGCACTACAGGTACTTGGCCTTTCCCAGGACAGGGCTCTCTGCCAGGAAACAGCCTGCATGCTGTTTTCCCCCTCTACCTCCAATACCTGTTCAGCATGCAGAGTTCCCACTTGGGAAGAATGCATTCAAACCTATTTCTTTTTTTTGTTGTTTATTATTGTTTTTTCTTTTTAATTTACCAAAAATGGTTGAGCGTGTGAGCTTACTCCTGCAGCATCTCCAAGGTTTTTGATCTCTGGAAAAGGAACACAACTTTCTTTTGGTGCAGCCCCAGGGAGATTACGTACAAGTTACAAGAGCCAACGCATAGACAGCTACTGTGCCTCCATGATGGCTAATACTTAACAGCAATTCAAGGCTCATTAAATTTGAAGGAAGATGTCTCAATTTACTATATTGGCTTATATTGCCATATGAGTTTAAAAAAATACCTAGCTAATGAAAAAAAGTTTAGACAATTTTTGAATTTCTCTAGGCAAGACAAAGTCTGATATTTTAAGGTTTGTACATTTAGAGGGGCATATATAATTATAACAGGGTTTTTTTGAGGGTCTTGGACTATTTTCACATAGCAGCAATTTTTTAAAAAAGAAGCTATAAAGTTATTAAATGTAGCTGTCAAAGGAAAGACACTGTGTATTTCTGATTGACTGCATCCAGTTGTGCAAACGTGCTAGTTGTCATTTAACCCTTATTTATGGTAATACGTAGACCGACTTTTAATAGGACATTCCCAAAAGTGCTGCATGTGCACTTAGAAAGAAGTTTCAATTTGACAATAGTAACAAAGCCACAGCAATTAAGAGACATTGAGGGCAAGAAATAACTGTCAGCTCCCTCCCCTTCACCTGTCTGAAAAATGACAAGTACCAACATGTTCCAGGGACAGAAATACCAAATGCCATACTCTGAGGCTGAAATCAGTTGAGTAATATTAACCTTCCCCACATGTCCACTGCTGACATAGATTGAACTGGCTCCTACTGCATTTAAATCCAGGTAATAGTACTTCTCTGAAGAATAAAATACATGCAGGACTGGCTTACATCAAACGCACAGAGCTGATCACAGAGCTCGGTATTCTACACAGAATCATCGTTATGTGTCTCAAATGGCAACACATCTCATCCTTTCAGGAGACTAAATGCTGATCCTCCTGCCTGGCGCCAGCCTACGGGAAAGACACTGTGGGGCTAGGAGAGAGGGGCACGACAGGGAGATGACATGCAGGATTACGCTTCACTGTCTACCACAGATCTCTATTGGTAAGGAGGTTTTACATGCCCACAGGGAAGACTTAAGGCAAAACAAATAATTCCTTGAAAAGTGGTTAACACCAGCCAATAGCCTTGGCATAGGAAACATGCAGGAGCCATGATTTTAACACTGCGAGATGGTAACAAGAAGAGTCTGTGGCTTTGCTGTCTCCCTGCCCTGGATGCAAATCAAGGATGTGGGCTTTCTCTAGATGCCGGCATTCAGCCAGACTACAATAAGAAACACAGGTCATATGTTGCACTATGCAGGCTGTGCCATCTGTTGAATGTGCAAAGTTTCCCTATTGGTTTGTTTCTATCTTTACATTCTTGAACATATAAGAAGTTGTTATGCCAATAATGGGGGTGAGAGCAGTGTTGTCAAACAGCACAGCTGATGTGTGTACTGTCAGATCTATACATTTTAGGGGGAATATCAACACAATCAGAAGTTCCTCACACATAACTGATCATGATTTTTGAGTATCTAATAAATGCCATGAAAGCTGAAGAAAAAACCCTTCTAAGATGACCTCTAGCACATTATTGCAGCTGAACAGAATTTTTCAGTATGAGGTCTTACAAAATTTGATGAAGAAAATTATGTACTCAAGCTACCTTATTTACAAAGCACTGGGAAAAAGTTAAGGTACATCTAATTCCAGAATTTTAAAACATGGAGAATGTTTAAGGGGATGGTTAGAACAAACAACGTTTTCAGAATGGCAGTCTACAGAAAGCAAAAATTTTGCATGGAAGGAGTTTAGGTAAAGCTAATGAATGGTTAGTAAAGGCCATGCAGGTAAAACCAGAGGAAACCTGGTGTAGGAAACAGCTCTAGAATTAGAGCCAAGCTAGGACGTGGATTAAAATTAATTGACAAAATTCTGGACCAAACAGCTTTTTCCTAGAATACAGGATGAGCAAAGAAGTCTTCAGGAGCAAGGATTTCTAGTAGACCAGCCCCCTGCCTGTGGTCTGTAAGTCAGTCACAAAGCTGCTTCCAAATCTCACATGTACCACAGAACTAGAGGATATTATATGTATAAATACAGTTCCCTTTAGCATTGTCATTCTAGTATTTTTGCACTAATTCATTGTTATTCTTGTATACAGCATGCTGCCAAGATGAACAAATTAAAATACAACATAATCCAGTTATGCTATAGAAGAATTATTAAAACACTATTACTCATAATTCATTAACTCCTGGAACCTGTGCCTCCTTTCCTGGATTCTAACTCTGGCCAAGTTCAAATTAACTTCACTGCCTGTCCCCAGATATTATCAGTGTTATTTATATGATGTAAAAAAAGAAATTCAATTTAGAGAACTGTAAGTTATGCAACAAAATATATTTGAATTCACATCTTCCATTTGACAGGATGAGCCCCTACCTCACAGTTACTTATTTTGCTGATACGTATATGGAGAATGGTCACTGGACGTCTCTACTGTAACCTGTTGTTGACCACTGGCTTCCTGCAAATAAAATGGAAGACAAGACATGAGACACAAAATCAGGCAGCATTATCTGCAATATGTATTTCCATGTGACTCATGCAATTAACAGTCTTCAAATCTTAAGTCTAACATTTCTCAAGTGGGGTAATCCAAATCTGAGGTGTTACCTTCTCATTGATTAACATTTCAGCAAATAGAGAAATAAAATTATCATGCAAACTTTATATTTGTCCAGCTGTTTTGATGATAATTTAAAAAAAAACCTCTAACGTTATAGAAAAAATATATAAAGGGAGCAAATAACTGCTAGTATATTTTGTATCTGCAAATATGAAAGAGCATTCTGCCCCTCTTCTTTTGAGGGCAGCAAGACGACTCAGATCTACTTACCATATGCACAAACACTATTGCTTTGAGTGCTGTGGTGTGACTGGCACTAGGCAACACAAAGAACTGTAGCTGGGACATCACACACAGAGCCCCAGAAACCAGGGAATTAATTCAGCTGACAGTGTTCTGGCAGACAGTGCAACCAGCTCATTACCAAAAGCCTTCCACTGACCCACGTGGGTAGATGCATAAACTGAACTAAACAATTTCTGGAGTTTCTGGACAAATAGACTCTGAAACGACATGTTTTTTTTTTCTTACAGGCCCTGGAAGAGACTGTCGAGCCCTCATTCTGAACACAAAGAGCTGCAGCATACCTTGTCTAACTCCTCTGTTAAAGAAGTACTGACCTATAAAAGGGTGTAAGGTAAGTCAAAATATTAGACAAACTATTGTCTAACATTTAGTTCTACTCTTCACCTGGACTTGCAGAGGGGTTTATTAGACAAATATGCCTGGTATCCTGAGATGCCAGGATAAAATTGTGATTCTTTGCAAAAAGTTATAATAATAGTCTGTTGTCAGAGAAGGTTGTTCACAGGAAAACTGAATGAAAGATCAGAACTATATTATACCTCCTGGCTTGTTCCTTTTGTAAGTTATTTTTCACAAAACACAAAGTTCAACTAAGTTACGCTTATTCAGAAGACTGCTACAAGTACTGTACTGCTACAAGCACAGGTCACTCTTTGTTGTAATACTAGTTACATTAGTTGAGAATAATGGCACTTTATAATTTTAATATACATTGTATTCACAGTACATTTACAGTTACAGTGTTAGGCTTTAAACAGTAGTTTTCCTAGCAAAAGAAAATCTAGTATTATATTCATGTCTCTTATCTCTGGGCTTGTATAAAATATACTGACCTCAACAGGAACCGCTGCTGTTTGGACATGTGTATACTGGGGTATGTAGGCTCCTTGCATAGCTGTTGTGGCTGGCATGTACTAGGAAAGACAGAGAGGCCATTGAGTAAAAGCCAAAAGTAAATTTAAGATTATTCAAAATACCTATCATGATATTGTCTGATAGATATTGACTGTTTCCCTAAAGCAATGTACAGGAACGAAAGACTGTTCTGTCTGAAATCAATAGGCTCTTCAGAAAAGTGAGATACCTGTTTTGAGAAAAGTCAAATTTTGACTTCAAAGACTAGATAAAGGACTTTGCCTTCTCTGTTAATCCCAGTCATCATAATTTCTTTTTTTAATCCTACCTCCTCAGAAAAGAAGGGCCTTTCAGTTTAGAAGCTAGCGTGCATCTCTTCTTCTGGTTTAGTTTCTGTTCCACACTTTGTATTACCTTCTGAAACTCTGATGTCCCAAAGAGCAAAACCAACTATTTTTTCTTTTTTGTTACAACTCTGGAGTTACCTCCTGGGTTGTTTTCATTTGCTTTATTCTATTTATGCATTTCCAATTTCTGATCAGCTAATAGACTGAATAAAAACTGAAAAATATGATTTAAGAATTGAGACAGTTCCGAGTATTTTTTTGGATGAAAGACTACTTAAAGGATTACTTTTTTCCTAAATGCAAGCTGCACATGCATACTGTGATCTATACACCGTATTTCTACTGGTGTAAAGTCTATTTTGTATTAAAATGCTACATACTGTTCCAGTACTGCCTAATGAAAGATGACTCATCTGCTGTGTCAGAGGGCTTATCATCGACGCAGGCTGTAGTGACATGGTGTGGTCCATGGAGGGAGTCAGTACAGCACCCTGTTAAAACAGAAAAAGAAAGAAATGGTTGCAGCAGCACTCAGATTTTAATTACATTTTTGATTAGAGAGACTAAGTACAGGCTGGCCTTTCGAGGGGAGGTACCACAAGAACTCTCCGTAAACCCAGGCACTGACTCAGGACACAGGTCTGGGGCACTCTGACTATTCTACTCCAGCAGATGTGTTTTGCACAGTTTGGTTGATGGGTAAGAACTGCACTGACTTCCTGTTGAACACGCAACAGATGTACAATGCACTTGAGGCACCTGCTCAAAACACTCTGCAAAATACAAGTTTAATCAGATGCTAACTTTAGAGCAAATATTTGCACACATTACCAGGTACAGATTCACCCAGCTTAAGCTCTGGAATTTTGGGCTTTAGGAAGAAACGGTTGCCTCATCTTTAGGAATGGAGGCTTTGAAGGAACATTTGTGTTAGGGGAATTCTACCTGTCATATGCCGTGTTCACACACAAGACAGAGCTGCCCTGATTAATGGCTGGTTTCATTAGCACACACACGCTTTAGAAGAGTGGGTTAGCAATGCTGTGTAGAAGATGGATTCTTTGTCTAAATACTAGCTACTGTGATGACCTTTCTATCACTCCTGCACCATTTTGTTAACTTCATAAAAAGAACGTGTGTAATTTTTAAACACTTGAGATTGCTAAATATGGAGGGCACACTCGTAAGGTTTTCAGAGTTATCTGAAATGGAGGGTTATCAACAAATTTCACTTTACCAATCACGTTCTACAAAAACATTTCCAAATACTTTGTAAGACTTATGCTTGCAGAAGCGTTGATTAAAATTATGGGAGCTCAAAACTAACTGAAATAATTGCAGTGTAGCGAAAGCCAGTATTTTGAATCAATAATTAATCCTTAAAAAGAAAAAAGAAAAGAAAAAAACCCTACAGAGTATAGCTGGAAAAACAACCATGTGATTAGTGTAGATGAAATGAGTCACAGGCACATCAAACACTAAAAGAATTTCCTGTCTGTAGACTGCAGGCTTCTCTGCAAAGCAAATGAGCAAGACAGCACCAGTCTTTGCACAGGCCAAAACTGAGCTGAAGTCAGGAATCTAGATCTTTATTTTCAACTGTGAAACTTCAACTTGTGAAACTAATACATCTTATAGCATTGTAACATATTGTGTCTTTCACAGCATAATTTGCAAGTTTTTTTAAATAAAAATCTATGTTGACAGAAAGTAAGGTTAAAAGCAATTGTGTGTGTGTGTGTTTAACATCAAAAACCACACATACAACACCAATTAAGTGTCTGAGAGAGTATTCTGGTTCAGTATCACCTTCTCTGCTTGCACAAGAAGAAAATGTTCTGCCAAGAAGATTTACGTCCTATAATCTGCATGGAGAGGTTAATTAAAGTCAAGACAATATCCCTTCTATATCTGGAAACAGACTTGTTTGTTAACTACAGGACTGCATATATTAAAGCGCCTGTTATTATTTATAATGCTTAAGAAACCTCACAAGTCTCAGATATAATAGCAGTTTATTGGCAAATGACATAGATAAGAAGAAAAATATCATGGGAGAGTATGGATTAGAATGCCTGACTGTCTGGTACAGATGCCACAGCCAAAAGTGCAGGGAGACTAGCATTACTCATGAGTGGTGAAGCCGGAACAAGCTACGCAGGTTTTCTCAAGTGAATGCCCATAATGTCACTTATATCACTACATCCATCTGCCTCTCACAAATTATCCAGTCTCAACTATTCTAGCCCCATTCTAAAACCTTCGATCTTCAATTCCAGCTCCTGATAGGTAAATAGTATGTAAGATATTGGTATTTGCAAAGTGCTTTTCTTTTAAATTAAAAAAAAAGTTTCCTCAGGATGCTGACTTGGTAATTGCCCTCATCATCTCCATACCCTGAAGGCAACTTTCTTTTTTTCCTAATAAAATGAGGCCCCAACTCAGGTTACTATCTTTGTTTGTCTTTTCATTTTGATCCATGATCTTAATTATTAAGTAATTGTAAAAACGCTGGAAGTAATTGGGCAGGAATCTACCTATTTCCTGTTGTTTAAAGTATGTAAAGTGTTTATACAATCAGTAACATGACAACAGAGATGTATAAAAACTTACTGGGTGCTGCATTATATATGGTTGAGGCTGCATCCAAGAAGGACTCTGAACCTAGAACAACATCAGATTTTTATTTTTCATTTTAGTCATTCTCTTCCTGAATACTCCAACTGAGATACAGTAACAATTTAATAAATCATGTTAACAAGCCCCCTCCCCTTTTTAATGCAAGTAGTCACTCTGTGGAGCAACATTGATTCCTGTGAGAACTGTATTTGTTGTACCTGTAAATCAGAAACAAGATTTGGAGACAATATACCACATACACTTTTCAGAACAGTATGCTATCCTTTTAGTGCAGGTCTCAGAAACTTTATAAAACACACTGAAAGGGTTCAAACAGATGCATGAGAGGCCTCTGCTGTGTTGAAAAAGGAGGCACCTTCTGTGTTTGAAATTCCTTTGGCAAAAAGTATTTGGGATCTCAGGAGGTATACCATTTGCTTTCTAGTGTGATCGGAATAAAATAAATTACTGGATTTTCACAAGGGAAAAAGAAACCAGGAATTCTGCTGGAATCTTCTTCCAAAAACAAGAAGATTTAGAACTGTTCTTCTCCAAGACATTGTGGTATGTTATTCCTAAAGCAGAGGGAGAGGAGGGAGAGGAGAAGGTTCTGACGAGCATTCCCGCTCTGGCAACTAGCACGTTCTCTCTCCAGGAACACTGCCAACCCAAATACTTACATTGAGGTAGGATGCTTAACTTTGCATGACAAGGTAAATGAAAAAGATTAAAAGGTAAACTAATAGGTTATATGGTTATCTTAGTTAAAAAGAGCTAGTTGCAACAGCTTCTTGAAAAAGTGTGCTGCAAGAAATATTACAGGCAAGAATGGAAATGTTTCCTCCCCTCCTCCTGTAGGTGTGTAGGATCAGGCAGGATTCTGACCTGCACTCCACATGCAGAACTGGCTCACCACTGCCGACAGACATTTAAAGCCCCTTAAACAACTCTACCATCATTCCCAGAGTCCTGTGAACAGGACAGTTAGACAAACAATCTTGAAAAAAATCCAGGTGAGGTATTTTCTGCAAGATAGAAATGTTTCCTCCTTCCTTTTGGTACTGACTTTCAAATCACTTTTTCAATCAGAAAAAGAGCAAACAGGAGTTCAAAAAAGGAAAACGCTTGAACCCTCCCTTTCCTCAGGCAAAGGCTTAATGGCAAAAATACTGGTACAGCCTGACTAAAGCTTTGACTCATCTACTCATACTATGATAGTAACTAGCTTAGAACTGTCATTTGGGTATACACCAGTTGCAGAAACAAATACTAGCCAAAACTTTATTAAAATTGTTTACCTTTAATAAGAATAAATCTAGGAACAGGTTATACCATGCCTCCACAAAAAAATAAATAAATCATGCTCTCGTGATATGTCCTGTTGTAGATGACAGAATGCTGCAGGTTTCGGTGTGAAGGGATCAGTAATGAAGACGTGACTCATACTCAAACTGTGAAACTCTTCTGGCCAAGAACCTCCTTCCTCCCCAGTACAGAATACTTGAATTTAATTTTCAGTTCCTATTACAGTGGCACTTTAAGCATGATGATGTTAATAACTCCATCCACAATAATTTAGGTTCCCTGCCATGTATAGTGAAATACCAGTAACAACACTTCTGGAAACATACAGTATTATGGCCTGCCTTTCTCCAAGCCCAGAAAAGTGATACTATATACCTAAGAAGTATGTTTCCATGACAACCTCCAACTTTTACTTGGATTCTGAATATCTGAGAGTATGATATTGATTAATAATTTATACTTTAATAAAGAACAGCAGCTAATTCTCCTGGAATTTTTTCTGGGTAAGAACTTGCTGTAATTTTTGAAGTATTGGTGTACAAAGCAGAATGATTCAATATACTGAAAAATGCAGTATTAGCATTGTCTGCTGAGAGCAAACATAGTGTTGCACATTTCACCTCAGAAATTAATATAAAATTAATCCAGCTGCCCTTTACTCCAGAGTGCACTGTTTAACTCCTACATAACACTTTGCTCATGCAAGAAGGTATTAGACCTCCAAACTAATACTAGACATTTCTTCCTCATTCTTCTCACCTGGAATGGGAGGGTACGTAAAAATTTCTTCAAGGAATACTGACCAAATGGCCCACAGGGCCTCTGTTAGCTTTCTATATGCCTTCTGCATAGCTTTCTATATGCCTTCTGCATAGCTTTCTATATTCAGTTTCACCCATGGTAAGCTAGAAAACTCAGCACGTCTCTCTCACTAAAAAGCAAACACCCTCTTTTTCTTCCCCTGACCCATAGATATAAGAATATTACAAATTTAATTAGTTTTGGTTATTTATGACCTGAATCACTGATGTTTACTTCATCTCTGTGTTAAACAGTAAAATGCCAAAATAGCTGATCATTTCGCTTACACGGGGATAAGAGGCATGTCTCCAGCAGTAATTACACAGCATACATCTGAGACTGCCATACCAGCTGCATTAAATGCAAGGTGTTTGTAAACTGAAATGTACGATGCCCTAAAATTGAGCATTCCTAAGAGAGTTATCTCAAAGTACAGAAACTGTTCCGTATAATTTCTCAGCATGTTGAATTGTTTGTCAATATCCCTTGGTGGGAACTCAAGATGATACCTATCAAAATTCCTTTTCAGGAAGCTTTGGACTGGGCTCCGAGAACAAAAAACACGCATGAATCAAGTTGTAATTTATTGTTCTAAACAAAGTAACTTTTGGTTTAGAAACACAATTCTAGATTATTAAATGCTTTACTCCTAATATAAAAATACTGAATTTGAATGCTAATGTAAATTGAACTCTAACCTCATTTTCAAATTTCCTTCTCTAATATCAAGCAAGTTTCTACACACTTCTTAGTACAACTGTTGGGCACTTTTTTTTTCCCCCCCACTGAAACAACCTGGAGGAAAGGTCAAAAAGCAGGGAGAAATATTTTTGCAACAGAATTCAACTAAATCAAGAAGGTTTTAAGTAAAGAATAATTATTTTAAATATGCATTATTGACACTAACAGAACTTGACCAAGAGAAAATTAAAAACCATACATGAAGTGCAGAAGTGGCTACAAATCCTTAGCCATCAGCACAGGTTAGAGACTTTTGCAAGACACCACATATCTCATTAAACTGTTGTGCTTCCTGAAACACACTTTTAGTTTTTAAGGCCATAATTTTCACGCTGTAGAGCACAACCAGGCCACTTCATTAAAATGAAACATTATTGGAAAATTCATAAAACCAGATGTAGCAACTGATAAATAAACATAGCTGAAATGGTTCATTGGAGTTTAAGGTCTAAATACAAACCTGGTATGTGGAAACTGGAGAAGCAATATACGGCGTAATAGATGTCTGAGTGATCATTCTGTTTGCTGTAATACTGTAGGGTGATGGATAAAATCTAGAAAATAGAGAAATATTTATTAAATGCCAGTTCTGTGCATCTTTCATAATGCAAACTTTTTTTTCTTAGTGTACCGTTATTTAACATACCCATTTTGTAAAGCAGCTGTGGTTGGATCATATGTGAGTGTCATTCCAGCCTTAAAAAAAAAAAAAAAAAGTGGAAAGAAAGAGTGACAAAATTCATTTTGATTGTAAATTATTTCTCTTATTCCTTCTTTAGTTGTATTATTTTTTTTAACTGAAAATTTCTATTGAAATAGTTTATTACTATAAGTTAGGGAAAGGTTAATTGACAGAAGTAATTATATAGTGATGAGAGTCAGCGATATTGACTATGAATACAAATTTCCAAGTTCCCAGCATGAGGAACAAAATGCAATTTGTGAAATGTCTGGCTAAGAGAACATGTGTGTGTCTGAGAGGCAGGGCATGAAGATGACTACACTAGGGTGTTGCCTACAATATATTAACCATAAGAATGAATGGGGAGTGCTGTTTTTCAGAAAACATATTTGCATTTTCTTGTATCACGTAAATGAGGTGTCTAGGCTTGCTAACCACAGTAAGCCTATGAAACTATTATCTTGAACATTAAAGATTAAAAAGCTGTGACTGAAAAAACCTCATGCTGCACTGCATTGCTATACTATTTTAATCTTATGAAAGTGATGTGCATTTCAGTGCTGCATAAATCAAATAATTATTTACTACCTATAAATAAAGTTATGTTTCAGGCAGTTTTATAATATGAAAGATCTCAGGCATATTCCTGACCAAGTTGAAGGATATTTTATTGTTCACTTTAATGATGTAGGATTTAGTGCTTCATGTTTTCCTTTTTTTCCTCTTAAAAAAGATACAGTTAAGTATTTTATAGAGTTGCAAACTGTCAGGTAAGAGTTGCTTGCACATTTTTAATATGCCGAAGACCCAAGCCAAGAAGTCTCAATGCCCATCATTTTCATAAGTATTCACTATTGCACACCCACACTAAAGCTTGAAGGGAGGACTTACAAGTCTCACCTCGCCTTCTCTGTGCCATGCTCTTCCATTCTGTATATATTTATTCTGATTCTGTCTCTTTTTCTGTCCTCCATCAGCAAACTTGCACAATAAAGGTTCTGCAGGAACTGAGAAGGAAGAAGGAATATTATCATAGAATGGTTTAGTTGAAGTAGTGCTCATACACAGGTGTTCGGCACTCCAAATGAGGTATGGTTTTTAAGTTATATTCCCAATATAACCGTGTTAAATAACATGGACTCATACTACAGCATCAACGACTGTTCTGGATATCACAAAGATAGCTTCTACACACAAAGAGAGCATCTCGAATGCCTTATATCTTTGATTTTAAATTACTGCTCTAAAACCTGTTGGAAAGAAACACGGTCTGTATTTTCTGAGTATGTGTCTGTTGGTCTGAGGATGAATGAGAACTGAATCTGAATTCTGAGTTTTCCCTCTTAGGAGGTACATCTAAGGACGTTGGAGAATAAATCTGGCCAAAGACCTTTAATATAATTCCCCCCACCCCTTGGAGGCTTCAGAAATGTCCCAAAACTTAAACTGCTCTGCTCATCCATGAGCTGGCACAGTACCTCCACTTACTTTAACCAGCAGGGTGGAGTGGGTAGCTGTATCTCTTGCCATCTTGCACTGAAAAAATGCCACAACTGCCCATTCCCTTTTTATCTCTACTCTATAAAGAGAACACAATGCAACCAGAAGTTCTTCAAGATTTTTCTTTTATCTTGTTTTTTGCATACTGTCATGAAATGGTCTTACTAAACTTTTTTTTTTTTTTTGCATAACATAATCCTGACCATGACTTCAATTTTTAATGTCAAAATTCAAGCAATGAAAAAAAAAAGTTTGCATAGTATTATTTCCCTGTTACTAGCTTCAACTGCAATAGTTTCCAAATACCTAGGGCTGAAGAACAGCTCTGCTACATCACACCACACCCTCCCTAATCACAGGGTGGAAGCAGTGTTAGAACTTAGAACTGAACACTTCTCTGCCAATAATTCCTGACACATGAGCTGTCTAAGCTTTACCATGATGCTCCTCCAATCATTCTCTGTTTGGAAACACCTTCATGAGACACGGTTGGATCTGAAAACACGCAAGTTTCCAAATCCAGAGTAAACACACGGAGTGGGAGGGCCACCCACAAAAAAACAACCCCAAGAAAAATTGTAGTGCATCTGTATCATGAAACAAAATCTATTAGTATAACCATGGCCAGTGCTGATGTGCTCTTCACTCTCTGCATTACAAAAGACAGTTGGTATTGAAAACTTCAGAGACTTATAACCTGGCAAAGAGTTTGACTTTTAGAACTTTGGCATAAAACAAGCACTAATGGCTAAGTCATCCCTGGCTTTGGATGGCATAACTAAAACACTAGCTCTGGTTCTACTGGGAATATATCCACTTCTGCATGATATATCTTTTAACAGCCTTCTGTATAAAAGATGGATGGAGTGGGAGACAGAACTGGTATGTGGTTCCCTGTCTCATCTCCAACACTGACCACACATCTGTCAGAGTCTTGTACATCTCCTACCCGTGTGCTGCAGTCAAAAAACTTTAATACCAGAGAGTTGGACTTTAGTATTAAACATGACAACTGAATTAATTTAAAATACATTATCTTACAGAGAATGGTAATTAAAATCCTATAATCATACAATAAACCAGGGAAAGGTTAGGCTAATGACACTGGGAAAAGTATTGGAGACCTATGGACAGTGCAGTAAATGTGCAAGGAAATCACAGAAACCCTAAAGTAGGAGATAGAAACTAGTGATCACTGTCTTCAAAATTTTGCATTTCTGAGGGGATTCCTGGCATTCCCAGAAATGGGTTTTGCTCTGGGGTCTTCTATCATGAGAAGCAACTTCTGTCTTGGCATATTTGGGGCAAAAAGGTACTATAACAATATGCTGATGGAAAATCTGATGTTACTTTATAAGCTAGATCCCAGTAACCTTGGTCATATCACACAGCATTTTAATCCACATACAGTTCTGTTGAAATAAGAGGAATTAATCTCAGAAGACGTTAGCCAATATGGGTAAAATTGTCAGGTTCTGGTCTGAAATTATTTTGACTCTGATTTTACGCAGTGAGGAAAAACTGCCTTAAAAGAAAAAAAAGCTCTTCCCCAAGTTGAGTATCTCTGGCTACTTACAAATTATTTCAAACCACCTAGTATTGTGGAAAGCCCGTGTGACTTCCAAAATACACACTATAAATTTTTGGATGAAGCCAAAAGAAACTAGCATGAGAACAGCTTATAAAGACATCAGAAAATACCGAAAGGTTTCTAGCCCCGTGATTCTGTATTATAGCACTCACAGGTAGTAAATACTTTATTTAAACCTGCATTATGCTTCCATTAAAAATCCCCACAGTGAATTTTACAAAACTTGTCTGAAAGCATTATTTGTTCCTGCATTTCCCACCATCTCAAGATCAAGATAATTCTTCTAAAAAGTCAGAGTAAACCTGTCCAACTGTTTGCATAAAACGTTCATAACAATCTATTTTAAGTAAATACAATGTTTTTGTCAGTAGATAACTGAAAACAGCTAAATTTTAAAGATGAAACATATTCTGTGGTGCATTGGAAACACTCTCCTGAAAAATTTAAAGAGGACGAAAAAATGGAACAAGAATTATCCACATGTATTGGATTTTGCATATGTAATATTCAAAACCTGCACTAATGGAAAAAAAAAAAATTGAAAGGCATTAATGTGTGATTTACTAGAACTCAGTGCTTCATCTTACTCAACACAGCTCTTGTCACAGGAACCCTTGTTTTTCTGACCTTTCAGCTTCTCTTGCTCCTCATTGTAGCCATAAATGAAGCCAAATACTGTGAAAGCTCCAACTCACATGAAAAAAAATGAAGCGGATCGTCTGTTTAATACTGCTAACTGCTGTGGGAAGGCTCTATAGCATTTGCCTTCCCTGAGTCCAGTTCAAGATCCGCACGCTGGTAGTGGGGACTGCCACAATTGAAAACCTAACTGCAATTTTTGGCTGCCCTTACATAGATGTGACCTGAGTACTACTGCGTTCATTGCTTCAAGAATACAATGACTGATGGGTCATCAGAGGGCCATGAGGAGATAAACCTTCATGGGAGCCAAGTATGATCTATTGATCCCCCTCCCACCAAACAATGAACATAGCCCTTACTCTCTTCAAAATTAAATCTGAAATTTATTTCTTCACCTTACTTTTCCTCATATTTTTCGTAAATACGTAAGATATTCTCTCTCTCTTGCACATACAGACATGTAGATATAATATATATACAAACAAAAAACTCCAACAAGCCCAACAGACCAGTCAAGCAATCATTTTGTGGTCCAAGAAGGAAGGGAGAGTCATTTTTATTGTTTAATTGTTGGGAAGTGTGCAGGCCCAGTGATGAAGGGGATCATGAATCATTCAGTGACTTGTCTGTATGTGCAAGACAAGAGGCATAGTATAAATATTCAGAGTTGCATTCACAGCTGAGGCAGCTGATGCAAAAGGCTACGACTGACTGTGGATTTATCCTTCTGCAGCTATGACACCATGTTTAAAATGCTCACTCTACTGACATTTAATGAAAACCAACAGCCACTCTCAATGGTTTATAGATGTCTGCTGAGTTGCTGCCACGGAGGTGTTCTGTAACCATGAGCTTTCACGTGCTTTAACAGCAGGTCAGTGCTTTAAAACCTGGCTGTGAAAAGTGCTGACCATCTCCTCCTGCCCTGAATTACCCTCTTCTAGGGCTAATGTTTTTACAGAAGAAAGATGTAAATGCAATATTACTCCAGAGAGTAAATACTTCCTTGTTGTACACATGTTGTGCAGATGTGTACATTAGAATTCAGTCTTCATTTGTTCAGTATCTACTCAAATATGTACCAGGTGATACTATAAACACAAGAACAAAATTGATGTTCTTATGTTGGATTTTGTGTTTACACACTTGACTTTACATGGCTGATTCCATCAACTTTTCAGTAAACTTTGCTTTCAGATATGAAAACATACAACAAAATAGTTTTAGAATACTACTCTTTTAATCCGTTTTCAATTAAACTGCATCTTTTAGTGACTTTCATAGCTTATTTTCTAGTGACAAAGCATATGGGACTAATGAATTCTAACACTAAAACACCAGTTTAATGACAGAGCAAGCCTGTACAGCTAGAAACTTTTGCCAAAAGCTGTGGGAATTAAAAGAGAAGTTGTGCAACCCAAGATCTCAAGTATCATAGAATCATAGAATAGTTTGG